TTATATCACGATTCAGAGGTCTCTAAATCAATTTTGGCCAGCACTATTCATAATTCTGGCCACCAGTATTGTGTAATATTACACTACAGAAAGATTCATAAAAATGTCGATTTATCCACAATTTGACCCAAAAATATTAATTTATATTGATCTAAATAAATCAATATTTTCTCTGGTTCCTGGTTAGCTACTAGATATTAGCATGACAGACAATCTAAATTTAGAAATAATGATCAGTGGCTTAGCCAACTTAATAAATTTTTTTTATATGGTATTAAACTACAAAAGTTTCTCAATTAAATCGGTTCAAAAAAAGAAAGAGACCAAAAGCTATAGAGCGTTTCAGTCTACTGTTAAAATTAATCAAAAATAATTACAATATTTTATCTTCTAGCTTAGAGTTTAGTTTTTTAGAAAATAGAAAGTATTTCAAGCCAAGATTCCACAAAATATTGCATAGTTGAAGCTTGTAAAGGAGGAGTAGCGTCTGGATGGAGGAAGATAACTGACGATATACTTAGAAAAGCAGAAGCCAAGGAAACTTTGACTTCATATTATGTAGATCACAAAGGCAAGTATATGTGTTTAAGTTGTTATAACAGGATTGTGGTAAATGGAAGTAAGATTTTTAAAAATCATGCATTAGAATAGGAAAAAGGTTTGAAAAAACGTAGAATGAGTGATAATCTTTCTATGTCTGAAAGTATTAAGTTACTGGCTAACATTATTTTTCAAAGAGACGTTTTAGAAAAAAATAGGTCTATCGTTGATTTTTCATGGTTTAGGGCTTTTGCAGAAAAGGAAGATAAGCGATTAACTTCATTTTTTAATGAAATTGAAGCAGCAGCTGATGTGGACAATAAGAACAAAGACGAAAGACAGGAACTCAATCGATCTCTAGCATATCAATGTTATTTAATATGCTGGAATCGAATAAAGCTAAACTACTCTGGGATCTAAATGAGTTTACGTAGGTTAATGATGTAGTTGTATTGATGAATTTGCTTTATAATAGAGAAAAAATACAAGATCTGCCACCAATTTACAGTTTTCAAGAATTATGAAAAGAAATAGAAGACAAGGATTATTGGCTAAGTATTTTTTTTGATTTTATTTATAATGCTGCAAATCTGTCTGGACGAAGCAAAGAATATTTAGAAAAGCTAGACAAACGTCTAGCTTTCAAATATTATCTTATCTGTAGTAATCGTAACTCAAAATTAACTGTATTCAAAACAGAGATATCAATATTTTTAAATTCTATAGAAACATCTCATGAAGCAATTGATGCATTCACGAATGCTAGAATTACGATTACATCTCATTATATAAATCGAAAAAAAGCTGATATGGCAGAATTATACGATGATTTAGTCGATGGTTACTTTAAAAAGAACATAAAGAGGGCAATAATACTTAATGTCGATGATTATCATAATATTCATAATATTCATGCCAAGTAAATACCTGATACTTGCTCTACATCAACGGCATCTCATATGATGACTTTATTGTTAAATTCAGTTGAAACTGATGCTATTCCGATTCATGGATCAAATGGCATCTCAATTCACAATCCTACACTAATAGATTTTAATATTATTTTAAAATATCTAGACGAAAAATATATGAAACGTATAGCATTTACCTCCAATGAAGTTTTCTCCTATAACATTCTATTTGACATGAGGTTAGAGGTATTATCTTTACATTTGTATGATGATCGAATCAAGGCTCAGAAAGAGAAACGTAAGATGAAAGACAGCATGCTTTTTGATTTTTATAAGCAAGAGCTTAAAACTGTAGGCTCGTATGTTAATACTTTGAAAAAATTAAATAGCATTAACACGTTAGAGTCTTATTTAAGCCATCATGTTGTACCCGTAGTAGCAGATTGGCCCAGGCAAATATATATAAAAAAAGCAATTAGTCTTCACTTACGGGATTCGAATAATTCAAAAATTCCAGGTGCGTATATAGATTATAATAAAATTATTAATGTATTTAATTTTAGATAATTAATTGCTAAGCTAATATTATTTATTATTATTTAAATATTAGACATAGTCTTATCTTTTATACCAATAATCGGCGATTACATATACAACTTAACTTGGTCGGTTCTATACTAACAAACTTTTAGAGTTTTTTCAATATGCAGTATAAGTATTTGTTTTGTGCTTCGAAGGATCTTTCACAAAATCCAAGTCTGTACCATTCATTTCTCCTTATAGATTTGGTAAGAAATGTATAGAAAGACATCAAGCCAATTGTAGTTAACAAATTCGGGAAGTATTGTAAAGATTTAGAGTATCTATTTCTTTTTGACTTGTTTGACAACACCATCCCGTTAGGAATTGATATCTATTCTATCTTTTTTCGATCAGTGAGTGAAGTTATATTTGGAGGGTATTTTTAGGGCATAGGTTATTTTTATTCGATTTGAGAGGCATAACTATAATAAAGCGCCATTAATATTTCTTTCAGATGTATTTTATTGGATGGAAAATAACCACCTGATACCAAGTGTACTAATTGAACATTTAGTTAAATTTTCAAATTATCTTGTCGAGAACATGCATAGTATTATTCGAAGACATTCCTCTCTATTAGATTCGGCTACACAACTTTCAAAAAAAACAAAAATAGCTAACATAAGGAAGGCTATGAATACGTTTAAGGAAGTTTTCATTACTAAACAGAATGATATCAACTCTAACAAAGAGCGTTTATTACCACTTACCACTAAAATGAAAATTTTTTTACTTCAAACTTTTGAAAAAGTTTACAAGAATTTTAGGAAAAGTAAAATTATCAAGACGGCTAAAGGAGAAAATCAATTTCGTCTTGCAGGTTTGAATATCGTGATAAACAAAAAACAAATGCCACTAGGGTTTAGTAGTGATCATATCCCAGCAAGAGATGAATGTGACTATTGCGACATGTTTTTAAATCTTGCAACTACAAACCCTATTGTACTTGTATGCAGTCACGAATATCATAACAATTGTTTTAATGCTTTTTTCAAAAATGATTTTATTGTCAAGTTTTTCTTGAAAAGGGTATTCAACAAAATATTTCTTCTTTAATTACACGATTAACAAAGCAGGATGACAAGGATCTCATGGATGATCAAGCACCTAAAAATCGAAAAAAAATTCAAAGATACGAAAACTAAAGATTTAGAAAATAATATTTTTGCACAATTAGAAAAGAACAAAAGTGTATTAAATAGAGTCGATGAAGCTTGTCAAATAGCCATAGATAGATTTTTAAATGTATAATTATATTTAATAATTTTTAATAAATTCTTAATTAATATTTTTAATTAATAAAATCGATTTATATAATGATAAGTAATGGCCAATCATTTTAGAGATTTTTGTTGATTTAATCACGTGGTGATCTACGATCAACAGCCAATCATTCGATTGTCTGCTATGCTCTAGATATTATCATGTCCAATCAGAAATGTGATTTGAGATTATCAGACAAACGAGATTTAGTAATGAACAAACGTGCATCTTTTCTATCAAGTGATGCTTCAGACAAAAAACAAAAATTAAATGATGACCAAT